TTATGTCACACAAATTGCAATAATTTTTCGAAAAATTACCATTTTGGTTAACAAGTTTTGAAAAATATAATAATAAGTGCATTACAAAATAAATGAGGAAGAATTTTAAATAAATAATTCATTGTATTTCGAAATTTATTTCTAACACATAGCTTAGATACATATGTGTTTTAAATATCAAAGGTTACATTTTGCAAATTAAATCTCAAATATTTACTTTGAAAGTTATTGTATTTTATGTAAATACTTAATTTTTTCCCAAATTAATTATGTTGCTATGCGTTTCTTTAAGTAGTTTTAATATGAGTTTGCTCTTTAGGATAATTTGAATACTTCTTGAATAATTTTGTGTGAAAGTATATTTTAAGTTTTTTCGATAAATTTTAAATGAGGATGAATAAATAAATAACTGAATAATGTATGAAAAATAAAAGCAGGGGAAAATCGAAAACTAAGTAACTTTTCGATTTATTCACCAAATGAAAACACGTGCTTCTTTTCCTTTATGGTTAGAAAAATGGCTGCGAAACTAAAATTTTTTAAATATAATTTTGGATTTTGTAGCAAAGGTGGTTTGAGTCACTTCTTTGAATTATTTTGTTGAATTATTTATCTTAAAAAAGATAAAAGTGTAGCAAAAATATTTATTATCTTTACAGCGGATAAATATCCTTTAGTTTCATTTATGTAAATCATTAATTTTTTAAATATGCTATCGACTTTCTAATTCATACACAAATGTGTATTTCATTATACTTTTTTTAAATTAATTGATTTTCATTAATCATACATGTGGCTAAATAACCAGTTTCCACGCTAAGAATTTGCAACTTGATTTCATTGTAAATCAAATCTTCTCTCTTTTAACCTCTTTGAAGTAATCACTTCTTATCCTCTTAATCATGAAATTCGCTTTATTTTACTAGTTTTAATAAAGAGTATAGCAACCATAGAGCTGTAATTTAAATAGCGCACGTCTGCTGTTACATTTCCTCATAACTCTTCGCCTCCTTCATCATGTGCTCTATTATCTCGGTGATTTTGTTGGATAAAAAAGGAGAGTTCTATGACTATTGATATGAGTCCTCTTTTGTAGTTGATTCTAAATTTACGTAGGCAATGGTCGAAAGTTAAGAGGGTTGAAATTAAAGAAGAATTAGTAGGTTGTAGAAGTATTAAAATTAAAGGAACATTTAAATCAATTGAAGCACTTTTTGACAAGACTTCGCTAAATGAAATGTTATTTTTGAATTCCAGTTTTTAGTAGGGGAGAGTGGGGTCAATTGTAACAGGGTACGATTGTAACAGAGCAAAAATTTCGAGTGTCGGGTTCTAGATTTGTTTTTTAGGTGGCGCACAAGGTGTATTTAATAAATCTACATGTACACCCCTGCTAGCAACCATTTTTATATACTTTTGAAAGAGTTACATTGCAAAAGATATTTTCATGCTACGTAAGTACTTTTTTGGTATTAGAATATTATATTGTAACAAAGTAATTTTGTTTAAACAAATAAAAATTAGTAACCGAATATGTAAGTGGACACCTTAATTAACATTTCAATAAAAAAAAAGATTAGTTTTGCTAATTAACTAGCATTGTTTTTAACAAATGAAGCTGAAATGGCGTCTTGGGGACAATTGTAACAATAAGTAAAGGGACGATTGTAACAGCTGAAAATAAATAATCTTATGTTTACAAACCATTACTTAACTCTTTAAGAACCACCAATAGTTTCCTATATCATTTATATTATGTTGCATGTGCATTATTTTATTTGTCACCTTTCACAGCATAAATTAAAATTTTTAACCCCTTAAAGTTAAAAGTTTAACCCTTTAGGTCTCTGCTCATTATTATTTTTACTCCTAAAATATCACTACTATTTTGATCAATAAAAAAATATATCACAACTATGATAATATGTATAATTAACTATGTTTTAGTTGAATTTATGAACTGTTACAATTGACCCCGTAAGTGGGGACAATTGTAACAAGTGCACGACTGTCAAAAATTGTTAATAACTAATATAATAATATTTAAAATAAGGTATTTATTTTTTTTCTAGTAGAGGATAGTCTACTTTACTCGTCTGTCAATAAATACTAATAATATATTGGATTTTTTGTTAGTTAAAAACAGTTAAGTAAAAAATGTTACAATTGACCCCACTCTCCTTTAAGTATAAAATATACATAATTAACATTTTTACAAATTTAAGAAAACTTAAAATTTTAATGATTTTAGAATGGTAAAAATTTGTCTTTTGATAAAACGTTATTTTGTAACATTATTTTGTAGTGTTATTTTGTGACATTCTTGTATATTGATTTTTTAGTGATTTATCGATACTGAAGTACATAAGAACGTATTTAAATTTTAATCTAACATATATTTTACTATAGTACTGCATCTTGTTAAATCATGGACATTGTTTTCTATTAATATATTATTTCAATTGCAACTTTTCACCTATGAAGTATTATTTCTAAATAGCACTTTGGTGTATAATTATTATTATCTTCGTTTAGCTTTGAGTTAATATTGATACTTTTGTGCCATCACGATCTAATGAACTCACGTTATATCTTAAAACATTTTCACTCGGGTTATAAAGGTCGTTACGTCGAACGTCGATTGTATAATATTGAAAACGGAAATTTCATTTTGACGCTATATAGTACGTCATCTCAGTTAATGTACAGATTTTTCAGTTTTTTGTGTGCTTACATATTTCTCCTACTGGTATAGAATATTTTTAAAAAAAATTTCTCTCATTATAAATTTTTATGTTACTTTTCTTTATTTATTACTTATTTAATTGATTTTAATTACTTCAATGAGACAACGAATGATAATTGATCTAGCGATAGACTCATTGCAATTAGAATTTCCATATTGTTACTTCGCAATAGGTGAGAAAAATAACGCTAACAGCCTTTAGTTTTAAATTATATTGACATTTATGTTATGTTCCCTAAATAATAACTACATATGCAATATGATTTTTTAAATACTATTAATATTATCATATCATTTTTGATTGAATTATAGGGCATCAAATTATCGTAAATAACAAATTTATAAATACATTAGATGATAAGTATAATCCTAAATTTAACGTGCAAGAAAAATGGAATTTTGTGGAATTAATACATCATAAAATGAGAAAAAAAAACAGAAATGCTTGAAAAATTATTTTAATGATAAATATAAAAGGTTTAATCGTATTTTTTTTTCTTTTTATTTTTTTAGAGCCACTTAGAACGCTATACATCATAAAATGAGGAAAAAAACAGAAATGCTTGAGAAATTATTTTAATAATAAATATAAAAGGTTTAATCGTACTTTTTGTTCTTTTTATTTTTTTAGAGCCACTTAGAACGCTATACATCATAAAATGAGAAAAAAAAAACAGAAATGCTTGAAAAATTATTTTAATGATAAATATAAAAGGTTTAATCGTATTTTTTGTTCTTTTTATTTTTTAGAGCCACTTAGAACGCTATACATCATAAAATGAGAAAAAAACAAACAGAAATGCTTGAAAAATTATTTTAATGATAAATATAAAAGGTTTAATCGTATTTTTTTGTTCTTTTTATTTTTTTAGAGCCACTTAGAACGCTATACATCATAAAATGAGAAAAAAAAACAGAAATGCTTGAAAAATTATTTTAATGATAAATATAAAAGGTTTAATCGTATTTTTTGTTCTTTTTATTTTCTTAGAGCCACTTAGAACGATATACATCATAAAATGAGAAAAGAAACAGAAATGCTTGAAAAATTATTTTAATGATAAATATAAAAGGTTTAATCGTATTTTTTGTTCTTTTTATTTTTTTAGAGCCACTTAGAACGCTATTTTTTGTTATACATCAAAGCATTAAATCGCTTTATCTGACACACTTTTTATATTTTTTTAATATAAATTTTTCTTTACTGCCATTCTTTTAAGGGCATTATCAAGAAAGATCATTAAAAAAGCATTGTTTATTTTACCTAGGCTTAGTTAATATCATGAAAGTCCAAAATAGTCATTTTCTTTAGAAAAAATATGGGTATACATAAATAATTTTTACAGCTGTTTATAATAATTCTTTATTAATTATATTTATATTAATTATATTTATATTAATTATATTAATATTAATTATATTTATACTAATTATATTAACTCAAAAATTTTTGCTGCGAACTAAATTTAAATTTGACTGTTTTCCGACATTAAAGTTAAAATATGTCTTATGATCACACATTTTGAGAACTGCTCATGCTAAAACTACACATGTGATTTGCAATGATATAGCTAAAATTATTAAACTCCTTTCTTTTGAACAGACGAAATGGATAATAATTGTGATTTAGATTATTTCGCATTGTAATACTATACAAATTCTAAAATAATTTTTAGTATTTGTGTATATTTAAATAAAATATTGGATATGTGACAAATGAAAAGTTTGTGTGCATTAAATTATTATTTGAAGAAATGTTTTGAATTTAAAACAAAAGAAAAAAATAAGTATTTATTTAAAAAAAAAAAAAAAAAAAAAAAAAAAAAAAAAAAAAAGCAGATTTTTACGGCTTTAAATATATTCTTCGTGGAGCCACTACACAATATTTATAAAGCACAGTGTTTCTCAAAGGAAAACTTTTATTTTTATCCTTAAAGAAAAATCCTTTTATATATTTTTTCAACGCATGCTAAAAAATAAAAAAACTATATATGCATGCTTGTTTTATTCTTTGGAGATATAAGCCCCTAACTATGTACCTTATCCCTCAAAATAGAATCACACATACTTGAGACAGCAAATACAAGTTGAAATTAAAACACCCACTCGCAACTGAAACTTGTGGAGAAAGTGGAAAGTAAGGCGCAAGCGCCAGTTACAAATAAAGAAGAATAAAATGTCCAACTATTTAGCGCCCCCTACCGTATTGCGTCGACAGAACGCAGCTTGGAATTGAATATAGTGAGATGCGCTCATGAAACCCGCACAACGGGGTCGAGTTTTGACTTCGGTCTTTCTTTGAAAAGCGAATCGCGAACTATTGATAAGTGATTTGGAAATGTTTTTGAGCATGTTAAAGTTAACAAGAAACATTCATATTTTTGCAACTGATGCCTATTGCATTATGCTTTACAATGCATTAGAATTTATAGAAAAATAAGATAAAATATTATTTATTTAAAACTATAACAAATATTTCTAACTTTGGAATCATAAATATTATTTCTTAACATTATATTATGTCATTTCGATTCGCGGCTAAATTAAAAGTTTAAAAATTTATGAAGAATTTTAAAACAAGTTTAAAATTAGAGTAATGAGATAAAGTTATGTTCTACATACCTGAACGAACTTATCATTCTATCTTGAAATTAAGTAAAGAGCTTAAGAATGTTTCGCTAGATTATTTGCACATGAATGAGGGTATGATGCACAATACAATACGCATGTTTAAATCCAGAAATGTTGCTTAACATTTAAAACTTTATTTATTATTTTTTTTATTTCATTGGTATAAGACTATCAAACCATTATTTGTAGATTAAAATTGTGCTAAGTATATTATATGCATTCAATAAACATTATGTATTTTTGGAGAAAAACTAATTCCATGATGAATTTATTTGTAATTATTCAAATTCAAAGCATTTGAAACCTTAAGATTGGCTCGCTAATGACGCACCGGTATTAATTAAATTTATCTATACGAAAAAACATTTAGATTAACGAATGTCTAGAAACGAAACTTGATAAATGATAAAGACAGATTTATTGCGAGTATGCCAATACAATGGCATAAAAAAATTGAAATATTATGCTAAAATTAATAAATAATTGAAATAAATTATCATGGAGGATTTCATGGAGATGAATGAGACAGTATCTGTTCAGAATGCAACAGAGGAAGTTCCAGAACGTAATGTATTTATTCTACCGTGGTGGCAGCAATTAGTCTGGACTCTAATATTCGGAAGCATGATATTTGTTGCTACAGGTGGTAATGTGATAGTCATGTGGATCGTCCTAGCTCATAAGCGCATGAGAAGCGTCACGAACTATTTCTTAGTCAACTTGAGTTTTGCTGACACAATGGTATCCACGTTGAATGTCATCTTCAACTTTATCTACATGCTAGATGGAGACTGGCCATTCGGAGAGGCTTACTGCAAAATATCTAATTTCATCGCCATAGTGTCCGTTGCGGCATCTGTTTTCACTCTGATGGCCATATCTATAGACAGGTAAGATATAAGACTTCAGTTAAAGAAAAATGTTCCGTTTTGCATGTTTTAATGTCAAATTTTCAGTCAGTGCCTATTCAAAACTATATTCCTTTTTTTTTTTGTTTGATGTTCTTTTATTATAACCTTTACCAACCATATAACCAAATACTTATAGTGTTAATTTAATAGTTCAAATATGAAAGAATTAATTATTCTATGATTATTAAAGCTAGATCAAACAAAGCCAGTTTTTTTAGAAACTAAATGAACATTTCTTTAACCTATGACTAATCAATTGCTCGAGCATTTAGTTATAGGAAGTACTTGCTTAACAACTACATTTAATTTAGCAATAAGAGCAATTCAGAAAAATATTATTCAATTTGCAAGAGCTATCAATTTCAAATGATTGGAATCTCGCTTTAAATTTTTTAGAATCTTTACGAGCTATGGTCAATTACAGTTGTATTCGGTGGCTTAACCAGAGCCACTGAACAGACAATAACAGTAATATATGTTCAATAAACTGCATATCTTCTTAATATGTTCAATAAACTACAATCAGCCGAAGTAATAAATGTATATGAAATATAGTTCATTCATTTCTATTATATCTGTAATTTAGTTATATAAAAAAATATTTTTTCGATAATTAGAGTGATTAACTTTAACTTAATTATAAAATTCCTGAACTTTTCATATTTATTTTGGATTTTCCATTGTGAATTTTAAGTGCTTGTATCTCTTAAAAAGTAAACACTTATAAATCTTATTTTGGCAACTATTGTAAAAATTACAAAAGAACGCAACATTTATATTCATTCTATATACGTACTTGCTTAAAATTGATATGTAACTGCTTCATAAAGTTAGAAAATCGTAAGCGTTAAAAAATGTTTTGTTCGGAATCATTGATGCTCTATGTCATGTTTTCTCATAGAAATGCTTTACTTAGAGTGATTAATGTATATTTCTGTTATATCAAAATACCTAAAAAGACAAGACACTAAAAATGGTCAGATATCTTAGCATTTCTAAAAATTGAAGTGAAAATTTTATTGTAAAAATTTCATTGTTAAATCTTAACTATCCCGTAAGAAATAAATTTTGCACATGAAATACAAACATACAACGATATGTTGTTAATGTTGTTATCAAGGAATAAACTGTTTGTTTTGGATCAAAATTGGGACTTATCGGAACCTTTTTTAAGACCTTTAAAGAAAAATAAATTTTAAGTTAACCTTAATATAATTGGCTGTTTTATTGGTAGAGTGATTCTTATAAACAAATGCAAAATATGGAATTAGTGAGCGAATGCTTTTCAATAAAGATAAGTTACAGATACTTAAATTATTTCGCAGAGCGTAAACTACGAATGTAATTAATGTGAAAAGAATCCTTAATGCTAAAAATCATTAAATTAATGCTTTTGGAGTGGATGTTAAAGAGTCATATTTGTCCGTAGAAATCACAATCTTCACAAAACATTAATTACGTTTTTGAATAAATGTTCCACATTTCTCTGCATAAAATATTATTATTTTATAAAAACCTTTATTTTCCATTTCTTTTACAACAAACACGTTTAACTCTCAACTATATTGGAAATTTTATTCTTGCTTTAATTCTATAGTTACATGTTAGTTGGCGGAAAAAATTTTTAAATTTCAAATTTCAGTTAAAGAGAAAAGTTTTAAAAAATCAAAATATTATTTAAAACATTAATATAAACTAGTGGGCTTCGCCCCCAGCTCGTTAACGCTCGCCAACCCCAGAAAATTGCTACGGAATTTTATATGGTTTGCTTCGCACACCAAGCTCGCTTCGCTCGCTAGTACCTTAGGTATATTGCAAATGCACAAAATTCTAAGAATTCAAAACGATCTTTCAAATCCATATAACAACTCTTTTTTTAAAAAAAAATTACATATTTTTAGTAAATACTAAGTCATTAAAATAAATTTGAATTCAAACATGTAATTCGTTAAACCTATTAGAAATGTGCTATAGTGCGTAAAAGCGTAACAGCACGACTGAGACTAATTTTTCAATGAATAACTAATAACAATAATAAAACAAATAAATTCGTGATATAAATCAAAAATCGTAGAAAAAATTCGATATATATAAATTCATGAAAAAAAGTGCTTTCGACAAAATACTAAAATAGAGATCTATCGACAAAGACTACTCACTTCTGCCTAGCTTAATAGTATGGGATTGCAGCAGCTGATGCTCTCTCAGGTTATTTCAATTTCCGTTTTTAAAAGGGCTATATGTTGAGCCACCTCAGCTAGATTTGGCGGCAATCATTGGTCGATTTTCTAGCGTTGCCATTCGGGGTGGTGTAATGAGGCGTTTTTTTGTCGCCGTGTAAGTAAAATATATATATAGATAGATTTTTACCAACTAAAATTTTGACTGTTTTCAGTAACGAGTTGTAATTACGAGTTGTAATTTCTCATATACACTATATTTACGCACACATTTTTGAATGAATTTTTGCTTTTTATCGTGAACAGTACACTAACACGACACAATTTTTTAAGTATTATGATAATTAAAAGTGCACTTACATAGTTTTGTGTTCCGTTCTAGCGTTAAATTATCATCTTTTTTAATAGGTTTACATAGGTTTGTTGTCTTAAATAATTCTAATTGCTTTTGCATAGTACATATAATATATATATATATATAAAATATTAAAAGATCTTTTTAAGAAATATTTAAAAATTTAAAACAAATAAGTTGAAAAATTAAATAAGGAAAAAATATATTCTCGTCATCAGCTCGCACGATTATATCCGAAAAAATCTATATCTGAAGATCCGAAATATGTTGTATTAAAAAGGCCAAAGTAAAATACATCAATACAATATTGTATTGAATTTTATTTATTTCAAATTCATAAATATTTCTTATGATAATTTTTTAATATTTTTTCTTTACTTTTTAAAAAATCTTTATATATTTTTCCATCTATTCTCTATATTTTTAACTTATTTTATGAGTTCTATGTACTCGCAGCTTATGCGCAGTAAATAAAACGTATTCCTATATATATATATTTATGTGAGTTCGTGCTTAATTTTGACTCGAAATAATAAACTCAAAAATTTGTCTACATTCTAAAACATATATATTAAATGAAAGAAAAATGGAGGGGAAAAAATAATGTCCAGAACGGAATAGCCAGGCTTTACCCCTGTTCGGGTATTTATAGTGCTCTCTGAATGTATTCCAATATTACCGAAGCGGAAAACATTTGAATACATAAGGGAAAAGTTACGAAAAATAAATAAAATAAAATAACATGAAATATTGAACGTCCTAGTAAAAATCTGAATAACTTGCAGCTGTAACACCTATGTAGGAAAGTAAAATGAAGTTATGATCAGCACTGGGGGTGATAAATTTTGGCAATACCAGGTTTTCATGAATATCCTTAGGATTACATGATAAAGTGATCTTTATAATACTGGTAAGACATTTCAGATGAGAAAATATAATTGGTCGCCATGCGGCATAAAATACGCTTTTACGAAAAGTAAAATATCAATCTCTACTCGGCCTTCAGAAATTCAACAAGTTTGATTTAGAGAAGTCACTATTGAACCCTATTAAATTTATAAATTATTAAATTGCATCTGTTTCATATTTTTCTTTTGATAGGGATATCAATAAAGTAAACGGAATGATACTTCTATAGTTCAAACAATTAACCGGACGACTTCATATACTCGCTTTGAACATTTGAAGCCATTTAAATCATAATACTTTACAATTTACAACTATTTTAATACGGTATTTCCTTAAATTTATCCTTTTTAAACTTAATTCCTCCATATTATGAACTTTGAAGAGATTTTGCGATAATTTAATATTTTATCAAATATATAGTTTATTATTTTGTCCAGCAACATGTTTTGATCATCACTTTTTTTAATATATTAGTTACTTACTAAGAAATGTTTTATGGACGCTGAAAAAATATAATTGTAAAAGCAGCACTAGTTAGAAATCATGATCAAGAAATAACAATTTTGGAGTTCAGAATTTTGAAAGGTGGTCTTGGATATCTGTTTGATCTGCATAGATTAAGCATTCTTAAATGTTAGTCTTCATAGATTGGTATGCATAGATTGAGGATTCTTAGATTTGAAAATGCTGGAAACTCCTGCAGCCTGTAATGAACTGTTGATGAATGAGATTCTATAACTCATATGTGTTACTTGTCGACAGTTTTTTGATACAGAAAATATTTTAACACTTCCATTTTCAATCCAATCGTTTTCATCCATTTGCAAATATATGGATTTTAAATGTTATAAATCATTACAAACGTATGCACAGACCATCAACCAAAAGTTAAAACTAAACTAAGCCATCACTTATACTTAGGGCGGTGGTAACCAAGTGGTTTGAGGTCCCGGTTCAAAGGAGCCGGGATTCGAATCTCGATCCTGCTAAGACCCTACTGATTACACGCAATATACGTGCTCGTGAAATTTGCAGAATAAAAAATCCTGACGTCGATCGCTGATCAGTGCCATGGGTACAGGGGTCTGGGGAAAATTCTCTTTCCCTTTGGATCTAAGAAAAAGAAGTAGCTTCGCGATTGAGTGGTGATGCCATTTGTCACCCATGTGGTGCTCTCTTGTCAAGCAAAAGGAAAACTTCTCAACTGGCCAATTTCTGGTGACCATAGTTTGTCTAACTGTCATTAGAAACAACAACAATAAAACTTGTACTTTGACGACGCAGTTCTAAGAATGTTTCTATTGTTTTTGACTGCCTCGTGTTAGTTTTTTGACCAACTTAATATTTATTTAACAAAATTCCTGTAAAGTTTTTGAAAAGAAAAGCTCTCAAATATGTTACAATGCTCTGAGCTGGTTGACATCAAAACGTATAGTATTACGAAATGTATCGTGGCATTATCGCCAAAATGGGTCCATCAGCAAAATAAGTGTTTCCTGACAGTTAAAAAAAAATCTTAGTTATTCTGACACGGA